GTATGTTGAAATCTTTGTGAGTCTTCCTTCTGGCTCTTGCATCAGTGCTTGTGATTGCCAGCTATTAAAAAATATCCTTGTATTGAAACCTTATTTTTATTTAATTTAGTGGGGGAAAAAAATCAAACCAAACCAAACAAAATGATAATAAAAAATTTGCCTCTGAAATCAAGACAGAAAAAAAATGTTTATTCTTTTGAAATTGTGGTCTAAAAGTTTTTTTTTAAAATGACTGTATTAAAGCTCTTAGGTAAGCTTCTTTATATTGCAATAAACAAGTACTTATATGCAAGAAAATCTCAGCAAAATACATTGCACAGGTGCTACGCATCTTAGGGATTTGAAAGGTGTGTTATGTATAAATTAGCTGTCACTTTTTTTCAATCCTGTAATGGAATGATGAGTTGTAATTTGCATAATCCTTTAAGAAGTCAAATTATACTGTCATGTAGCAGACTTAACATGCTAGCTAAGATTTCAGAGCTTTGCAGCTAATTACTATGTACCTTACAGGACAGTTAAATTGAAGTTGAGTCCTCTGTCTTTGCTGCCATTTGCTTTGTCCGTTACTTAACAGAATCTGCACTTTTGGTAACGAGGTGTTGTTGCTATCACTGAAGTAAACACTTTGCTCTGGGGAGGAAATGGCATTTTAATATATTGTAGCTTGAGTTGTATTGCTTTTACTAAAAAGAAAGTTTTTTTAAACAATAGTCCAATTGGAGTATTCAGAAAAAAAGGTTAGAAATTTATGCTTTCCRGAAAAGTTATGCAATATTGAATGAAGCAGCGTTAACATCTAATTAATTCTTCCCCTATAGAAAATATAAGGTAACAAAAACATGAGTCCACTGAAGTCTTTCTTCACACATTTTGCAAATATACTGTGGTGTATGTTTGTCTTTGTACTCTTCTTTGGTAGGAGAATGTCATTTTTGAAAAAAAAAAAAAAAGAAAGTGCCCTTTTTTCCTTAAAAGGTCCTTTCTGAATACAAGCTGGTGAGTTCTACTTTCATTTACTCCTCCAAATGGTTGTAGAGAGTTTTCTTTCACGGTTTCCAATTTTTAAATGATCAGGAGATGCTAGTGGCTATGGAGGTTGTTCTCTGAAATGGATATAGAATAGATCCCGGATTGGAGCTAGGACTGTTCCCTGCCTAGTGTGGTTTAGTTGATAACTTTATCACAGTATCTTTACTACGTGTTTATCTCTGGCTTTATTTATTGTTATTCTGTTACCTAGATCATGTTTTCCTCTTCTGAACTGGTGTAATTATAATGCAAAATTATTTCTGGTAATTTTTAAAAAGACCTTATTATTTATGAGTCATTTATTGTGGCTTTTGATGGCCAGGTTTCTGAAATTGGTTAGTGATTTGTGGCCTTGTTGTGATTGGTGGTTGCTTTGAAGAAGCCTTCTGTTGTCTAGCAAGGGGGGTCCGCTCAGAACCATAGTTAAGCATCAGTTGATTGTTGACCACTCAAATAATAGGCAATCAGCAATCAATTGTTGTTAATTTGTAATTAAGCTGGTTTAATTTAAGCAGATAGAAATGACTATCTGCTTAAAGGCTGAGGTTGCTCAGTTTAGAGTAMGGAACATGGTCGAAGCCATGAGGAGGTCTGTCCATAGAAAAGTTTCCCTTCTCACMATAGGAATCATCTCAAGGGTTTGCTTTTATTAAGAATCAGTGTTATTTGTAGTCAGGGTAGACACAGTAGGCAGCACAGCTGTGACTGCCAGGGTAAGTCACTAGGGGGATATTCATAACAAGGAAATATTGGCAAATAAATGATGAAGAAGGGGAAGAAATCCCCAAGATGTTAAATTGGAGCACTGTCACTGAGATGATTAATGGTGTTGKGTATTTTAGTGAAGATGCTTATCTGAATTGTCTTGAAACTATAGTGTACATTTAATAGCACCTATAAAAAGCATGTGGTGTGCAAGCACACTGACGAGAGGGCCGTGCATTCAAATTCTACTGAGTATTTTCTGCAACTAAGTATTTGGCTTTTGGCTATTAGAAGGCTAGTGTTACTAATGTACAGGATATGATTATTCTATATATTTAATATTAATCAGCATTTATATAGTTCTTCTCCATAGAGAAATGAAGATGTTTTGTGAAAACAATGATTCTCTTTTCAACACTGTTGAGGGTGAATGTTGTCAAGTAAGGAAATGGGAATCATGTCCCCGTCATCCAGGTGAAAAGTCAGGGCCACAGTGGGTAAAACACTGTTGGGGGGGGTGAGTACCATTAAAAAAATTCTTTGTCAATTTCTGGCGAAGGGGTAGCTGTCTTACAAGATTATATAACTTTCAGTTATCAAGTCATAAATATTATGATTCTGTGGCATGAGTTATCACTTGCCTGGAGGGATTATTTGTCAGCAATATAGCAGTTACATCTTTGGAAAAGTTACTTAACCTCCTTGGACTTCAATAATTACTATTAGATATAGGAATAGATACAGACAAATGATATGTAATCCTATCTTCAATGAGCTTATAGTCTATTACAGTAGCACTTTTCAAACTCTGGGTCACTACCCAAAAAGGTGAATATAATMCAATTTAGTGGATCAAGATCAGAATTTAAAAGTGATATAGAAGAGGAGATTATGCATTGTATGTAGTAAGACTGTGCTTTATTTTTTAAGACTTCCGTTTTGTTTTATTCACTTGTGTTTATGTACATACAACTGCACATAATGTGTATGTGGTTGGGTTATGAGGTCATATATGTTTTTTACTGTGTTTCATTTCTGAAAAAAGAATGAAAGCCACTATAATAGTGTCGAGTAGATAAATGTGTAAACATTGTACATGTGTTATGTCCTTATGTGCGTAGGGTATTGTAGATTATAAGGAAAGACAGTCCTGCGGAAAAGTTTCAGGTATGAAGAGGCTACACCATCTGAACTTTCATATCCAGTCATGTGGTAGAGCCAACTTAGATGGGTTTSTGAGAGCCAGTTGTGTGGTCTTTGTGATCAGTAACCCCTTGGAGACTGCCTCCATCTTTCATTTTTTCTAGTACTAGGGATTGAGCCCAGGAGTGTAGCCCTGAGCTACATCTCCAGCCCTTTTTATTTTTGTATTTTGAGACAGGGTCCCAGTAAGTTTCCTAGGCTGGCCTTGAACTTGAGATCTTCCTGCCTCAGCCTTCTGAGTAGCTGAGATTACAGGTGCCACTGTTGTACTTGGCATCCTAACTGGTTGTTCAGCGTTTCCTAGTATATCATTGCTTATATTCCTTTCAACCATAATTCTGTGGTTCAACAGTTATTGTGAATTGTTACTTTAAAACAATTATTTTACATGGTGCATTTATATTTTATTGAGAATTACTAGACTGGTTAAACAGTTGTTTCAATATTAAAATTTTAAAGCAAACAGGAATAAAAATTTATTTTAAAAAGTCTGTACTTTATTACTTTAAAATAATGGTAATAGTTACCCTAATCTTTTACATTCAACGCTTATGATATTTCCAATTTACAACTTCAAATTGCAATTGTTGATACTGAGTTTTTTAGCAAAGGGTAGAAATACAGTCTTTTAAAAATTACTAATGTTGTAAATATTTTACAAATCTCATTGTTTTATGCTAAGCATTTGTTTTGCTAAGCACTATAACTGCCTTTTAAACTGCCTATTTATAGTTCATAATAATATCTCTGTATTTAAGTGAATTCATTTCTATAGTAGTGGATTTGATTGGGAGATGCCAAAGTTATTTCTAAATCAAAACAGTTGCCAATCTTATTTTTTTTCTATTTTTGAGRATAAAAGTAAAAGCAACAAAGAATCTGAAAAAGGAGAAAATATATTCCCTTCATAATATTGATAGCTTTGAACTTTATTTTTGAAGAAAGGCAGGAAAACATTTGGCCAGTGAGGAAACATTCGTTGACATGGCATGGAATTGTAATAAGAAGTCCAAGAATATTGCCTGCATTAAGAATATCTGATGGTGAGGAAGAATAGGTAGGGAAGAGCCCCCTGAGCTCCAGAGTTTAAGAGGAAATTCAACCACAGAGTTGGACACTTCTGTAGAGAAGTTGGAGGAAGGGTAGGGTGTCCTTAAGGCTGTTTCAGGAACAGTCATTTCACCAATCTTGAGGAAAAGGGGAGTGAGCCTGAGGTGGGAGTCCATTTCCAGAGCTTCTGCTATGCCATATCAGTGCACACTGCAGCACCCATTTTAAACAAAAGGGTTTAACCCAGGGCTCCTAGTCTCAAAGTGGAGCCAAGACTGAGAAATTCTCATTGTGAAGGTTTTTGAAATTGATTGAAACACTTGTCACCTAGAGTGGGAGAGACCACTGGCAAGATTAAAGTTAGTTTCTGTTTGTCTTCTCCATCTCGAGGCCATCTTCATGAAATTCATTGCACTGGGTTCTTGGTTTGTGCTGGGTGCTCCAGCCTCACCCCCACCAGCATTTTTGTCTGTACCTCTCATTGCAGATCAGGAGTTGTTATCTGATAATGTTACYCTTCTCAGGACTATTTGGATTTTAATAAGCAACTCCAAGCGAAAGTATCAAAGAGAGAAGAAAAGGAGTCTTCTCTAATAGAGTAATTTCAGATACCTCGACAGGAGTTGGAGGAATTCATTTGAGGCTGGAGGAGAGTGAAGGGTGAACCTAGAATATGGATATTCTGTTCGGTGTAGTGTTGAGGTTGACCTCGTCTGAGAGGCATAGGTCTGGAAATGGGAAAATTTGGACTCAAAAGAGGCAAGGAGTTGATGAGGGAAGACCAGGGGAGGGTAGTGAAGAAGGGCATTCACTAGTCCTTTTCAGCTATATTGTGCCAKACAGACTGCTCCCCACTCTCAAGTGTTCTCCCAATTACAGAGAAGCCATCACAGGCAACTGTGGGCTGGGGTGTGGGTACTGGAGGCTCACCTATGTAGAAGGGGAGGCAAAGGTCAAGGAGCTCTAGCCACAGCAGCCAATTCTTTCACTGGTTGTTTAACCTGATTGAT